TATATTAACGACAAAATACAACAACATGGAGGCCGCCGACAAGCGACGCAAAACTATTATCTAACGCCCGATGTCTAACCGGCACTGCCGCAGCGCGCCAAACTTCTTGCCGACTGGTGCGCTGGCAGCGCCGTATGCGTAAAGCAAGGGATGCGCGTCTTGCACGCTTCAAATGCCACACTTGGCGTAAACAAGTTTCATAGGTCTTCACTAGCAACATGCACTGGTTGTATAGTCTCGTTTTCAGGTTTTAAGGTATAGCTGACGAGAAGATGTGTCGTAATTTCGCGAACGCTGCCCAACTGAGTTGAATCCGTCGATTGACCTCTTGCTCGAAGTGGGACTATTTATCCCAGGTAAACGTACTCGTCAACAACTTCGAGCATAGTGCTCCCAACAACTACCGGTATAGGTGTGACATGGACATTAAACATGATGTTTGTTTTGTCCATGTTCATCTTAAGACCGATCCGTTGGGAGACACTACTGAGGTCATTGAGTATAGTGCTTAGGTCCTCCAGAGATTGTGCTATAAAGACTATATCGTAGGCAAATCGAAGGTGAGTGATGTACTCGCCATTGATGTAAATAACATATCCTTTTCAGTCCAGTACCTTGAAAACGTCTTCCAATGCAGCGGTAAAGAGTTTCGGGGCTATAACATCACCCTATCTTACACCTCTCTACAGTTATCCAACTCTCTATAATTATACAACCGAGTACATAACCAGAGTACGAAACCTATCAAAAACCAGCATGTTCGGGAGGATGGACATCGTCGAGTCTGCGTGCGCGACAATTCGTAATGACTCTCAAGAACAGCACGTAGACGGGGCTCAGAAGGGATATCGGTCTGCAGTTATTCAAGAGAGCGTTGTCACCTTTATTGAAGAACAAGACCACCGCACTTCTAATCCAGGCCTCAGGAGTAGTGCCACCACACTACTCCTGAGGCTTGGATGGAGGACGAGATTAAATAGCTTCTGAAGAACTTCAAATACCGGTTTTCTACCCGCTTTCAGAAGCTCTGCTGTAATTCCATCCTCGCCCATGGTCTTGCCGCTTTTAAGGTGCTGGAGAGCCATTCTGAAATCGCTCAGACTGACATCCGGGATATCATCGGAATAGTGTCGGGTAAGACTTGCTCACTTACACACTTGATCACTCTTACGAGTGGTTCCAACGATAACGTCTACAGCTGCCCATAGAACTTCTCAATCTCACTCAAAATCTCAGGTATCCTCTGGAAACGATGCTGCTACACTTGGTTTTTAGCTTCGACAGTTGGCTCTTTGTTACAGACAGATCACTGCAAAGACTTATGAGCCTTGGTTTCACTCGATCGATTCTTTAATACGAGCCGTACTGAAGTTGCGTAAGTCCCGCAGCATGTATTTGGAGATCTGTCTGTTCAGTTGCCTGTATGCTGCTAAAGCTGCTGAAGACTGCAGCTTTATTTCTCGTCTAACAGCCATGCGATTAAGAGTGTTGCCGGAGAATTTTTTGTGTTCTTCTGCAACGGTTCTTGCATAAATTAGATCCGACCGCATGGACAGTTTCCATGAGCTTTTCATTCATATCGTCCACTGCATTGCAATCTTCTAGGCACTGAAAACCGTTTTGTAACTCGAGCTGAAAGGTTTCGGGGCCCTGGATTAAAGCACGAGGGGAACGGAGCGTTGACTTCATTAGACGAGACATCTCTAACTTAACATTTTGGTTCAGAGTACCTCGAATCATTCGGTGATCGCTGCCAGTGTTCACCGTCGCGATCACTGAAACATCACTGATCAGTTTGCGTCTGGTCATCATAATAAAGTCAATCTCATTTTTGGTCGAACTGTCAGGGCTCGACCAAGTCCACTTCCTTTGGGGCCGTTTCTGGAAGAATGAGTTCATCATCAAAGAGCTCTCTGTCTCCATGAAGTGGGCCCATTGTTTTCCATTGCCCTGTTCCAAATTTGCGTAACTTCAGCTCACCGCTTTCTCTTGTGCCTAGTTTTGCTTTGAAGTCTCACATCAACACCGTATAGTGGGTTTTGGAGGAATGCATGGCTCTAGAGATATCCTCATACATTTCCTCCGACTCCTCATTGGGATGTGCCGAGCTTGGTGCGTTAACCTGTATGAACTTCAGCGATTACCGTTTGGTGATTCTGAGTATCAAGTACGCGACCCTCGTCGACACACTCTATCTACAACTTGTTAACGAGAGACTTGTGGACGATAAGTCTAACACCTCCTTGAGACAGATGTTTGCCCTCCCGGTGATAGAACAATTTGCCGGTTTCGAGGATTACCGTGTCCTACACCTCTCTTCGGACATCAAATAATCCAATAATATGCCAACGCAACTTGTCTACCTATTCTTCCAGCTCCAGTATCTTCTCTTGAATCCTCAGGGTGCGTGCTTTATATATTGCCAGGTCGAGTCGTCGTAGGTGGCGACTGAACCTCCATCGGAGATTCTTAGCACCCCCTGCCCCGCCGTTACCATGGTCGCCACCGGAGCCAGGAATAGCGGGACTGGTGGCCGTTTTTTTTTTGTGTCGTTCTTCATGGGAGATGTTTGCCATAGTTGCCACACTTGGCGAGCGGATTGGCAACCACATTTTTTTTTAAATCTATAGTTGTTATCGGGATGCTGCTCCCCATCTCCTGCCTGCCTCCCTCTGTGGTCTCTTACGACATCCACGGGAAGATATAAGGTAGTGGATATTCTCAGCCGCCACTACACGGAAAAGCAGCCGAAACGTTGGGAATTAAAAATAAGTTAGAATAGTTAATTAAACGCGATAATTTCCGTAAATATTGTTTTATTCAATGTGTAGTGTTGACGTAAATTTATGAAATCATTAAGATGATCATAATCAATATTATATGATAATAAATAATTGGCTTAACAAATAAGTTAGTAATATAAAACATGATTGATTATAGTCAATCCCATCGTTGAAATATATTTTTTATTTTATAACATTTTGAATAAAATTTATATCAAGCGCCGTTCTTCACTGGAGAAATGCCAAGATAGTTGAATCGTTATTTAATACTTGAAATTTTGGAATAAGGACAGAACTAGACCACGGTTTATCAAAAACAACGAGAAAAAAGAAGAGTAATGGCTAGGAAGCTGTACATTGGTTACGATTGAGAAAAGGAAGAAACTACGACTGCTATTAATATAATTGTTTATTTATTCTGTGTTTATAAATATTCTGTTTTCAATAATTTTTGATTACTAAACTCCTTCAAAATTCTTGATCAATACAAATAAAAAATAAATAAATGTTAAAGATTACACACTACCCTATATCGTTCAAACAGGAGAAAAGCAGCAGCATCTTCCTGGTAACCAAAAATCTAACTATAAACAAATAATAGGACGGTTGACAACCCGCCTGCCAAGGTCGGTAAATATGGAATATTCCCCCCTACAAGGCAATCTAAAGGATAGGGCTATGTTCAACAGTGGACTTTTCATTGTGATAAGTGATAAGGGTTGTTCACCCTTAACATTTTTTTTTTAATTTTTGGACAAAATTTTTTGTTTTTATTTTTCTATAATGTGGCATTAAAAATACATACAACCCTAAATTTTTACCCTTTTATCACCAACCCCTATTTTTTAATAGCCATTTTAGTAATTTAATCATTTTTCATCCCGCTCGATAACTGATCAATTATCGTCTTTTTTCTAAATGTTTTTCACTCTATTTCGATCAAAATTTCCCTGAGCTTATGCCAAATCTAAAATTTTTTTATAAAAATAAACATTTATTTTTATTATTAAAGCTTATTCCTGATAGTGTTACCAATGTTAGATTTTGAAAATTTGCCGCGCTTTTACTGGTGTGTGAAATGCCAGACTATACCAGTGTCACTCCTCAGTAAACAGCACGGAGTAGGGATGAGACCGAAGCCGGTCTCCTGTTTCTCTCGCACAATAAGACTTCTCTCACGCCCTACACAGTTTTCGTCCATCATTATTGTTTATGCATCAAGTGTAGTAGTAACGTTTACAATTATCATTTTGCTATCTCAGTGTAACCCACATAACTATTGTTATTCCTTTTTTATTTGTAAAATAAAAATTTTAAGTGTATTTTGCACGATTAGTTAATCAAGTGATTTACATAACCTCAAAAGTACTCAACACGTGGCACGAGCTCCCACCAACAACGGCTTTTGTGTTGTAAGTATACTTTTTTTTTCATTTATATCGAAAATGTTGTTGGAAATGATCAAAAAATATTCGGTGATAACTTTCACCGAATCTTTTTTGACCTTTGATTTTTATTAAAATTGGGAAAACTTTTTTTTGTATTCATTTTTTTACCATTTCAAAAAATATATTTTGATATAATTATGAAAAATAAAATTTTTCGCTTTCGTAAAACAGTCTAATATTTAAATGAATAATATGTAAATGTATGTGTGTACAAGCAAATATTAAATACATTATAACTAGGGCCAGGATTTCTGCCCTGATTTCAAAATAACATTTTACAATTAATGTTGTCAAGATTTTGACAAAACGACAAAAATATTGATCTAATAAAATTAATTTTAATTTTATTTTATTAAAAAAATGTCTCTTATGATTTTTTCTTAGGACCAATAGGAAAGCTGTAATTTCACAATTAAGATTTTCATAGTTTCCAAAAATTTGAATCAATCATTATTAATCTTTATTTTGAAATTACGACGTAAATATTGGTTGTATGAGAAAATTATAAGAAACAATATTTAGTAAAATTTAATTTTTTAAAACTTTTGTTTCAATTTATTTCATAAACTAATATTTTTGCTATAATTTCAAAAATTTAAATTAATCATTTCAAAATTGCGGCAAGAATCCTCATCCTAATTATAACTATAACGTTTTTCATCATTAAGTAATTTCATTAATTCCATTTATGTGTGTTTTATACAGTGATCAATACCAAGAAAACGCCAAGGGGTTTGTTTTGAGCCGTAATACAAGTAGATCTAGAAACATGAGAAATAGAAGATCACAAAGAACCGAAGAACAAATCCAGCAACAAAATACTGATGCACGTGTGAGCATTGCGCAATTGCGTCAAGAACAATCAGAAGATACACGAGCTGAACGCGGAACAAATGACCAACAACGCCAACAGGTACATCGAGAATTTACATCTGATTCATTCCTGCGTCTAGCATTCCAATATGAGTGCAAAATTGAATATTATGCTCATTCAAAAGTGGTAATTGGTGCTATGGACAAGGAATGTCCGCATTGTCATGCTCTCAAATTCAAAAACGAGCCAGCTGGGATGTATTGTGCGTCATGAAAAGTGCAACTACCTGAAATTGAAACACCACCTAAACCATTGAACGGTTTACTTATCGACAAGGATCCAGATTCTAACGTGTTCCTGAGGTCAATTCGAAGATTCAATTCATTCTTTCAAATAACATCGTTCGGAGCAACAGAAATAGTTCGAAATACTAATGCAAATGGTCAACAATACAATTCTACATTCAAAATCAGAGGCCCAAGTTTATCATAAAATGGGCTCATTGCTGCCAATGCCAAACGAACCACATAAATTTTTACAAATCTACTTCATGGGCGGCGAGGATTCCGGAAGCGCACTTGCCAATTGCGTGAATACACATTGTGACTATAATTATTGACATTTTTGACGCATCGTCAGCGAGCTGGACGCTCTATTGAACGAGCACAATGAATTGTTGAAAAAATTCAAATCACACATTCACAAATTATAAAAAGCGATAATCACGCTATTGTCATTAATTCTGATAAAACACCAGCTGGAGAGTATATTCGTAGATTCAATGCACCTGTTGTTGATGACGTTGCTGGAATCATGGTTGGCGATAGTACAGGTGCACGAGAAATTGTGATTCGTAGAAGAAATAATAATCTCTAGTTCATTGCTGATACACATGGTTCATATGATGCTCTCCAATACGCGCTAATATTCTGGAAGAGAAAAGACGGATATTGCATAAACATAAAACAACGAGATCCCGTATCAGGTACTTCATTTATTGTGAACTTGATCATTAACCATTTAACGAAACAATTAAATTATTGAAAGTAATTAATTTAAATTAATATTTATAAATATATTATTACAGGAGCTGAAACAAACAATAACGTTAGCTCGAAAGATTATTATGCGTACCGTTTAATGATTAGACGCGATCTGAACTACGTCATTCTACGATGTCGTGAGCTTTGTCAACAATTCATGGTTGACATGTACGCGAAGATAGAGGGCGAACGGCCACGATACTTACGATATAATCAACTCAAGCTGCGTGCGAAAGAGTACATTCACTTGCGAGACGCTATTAACAACAACGCCGACGTCGCCGAAATTGGTAACACTGTCATTTTACCATCATCGTACGTCGGCAGTCCAAGTCATATGCAAGAATATATATAGGATGCTCTGACTTACGTGCGCGAATATGTACCACCGTGTTTATTTATCACGTTCACATGTAATCCAAAATGGCCAAAGATTACATCTTTGCTATTGCCTGGCCAAAATGCAATACATCGTCATGATATTACAGCACGTGTATTCAGACAAAAGTTGAAGTCTCTAATAAGTTTCATTACTAAATTACATGTATTCGGTCCCACATGTTGCTGGCTGTATTCGGTTGAGTGGCAAAAGCGAGGATTACCTCATGCACATATTTTAGTTTGGTTAATCGACAAAATCCGTCCTGAAGAAATCGATAGAATCATTTCTGCGGAAATTCCAGATCCGTCTACTGACCAACTGCTGTTTGATATTGTTACAGCAAACATAATACATGGTCCATGTGGTACTCTTAATCGTTCATCGCCTTGCATGGAAGATGGAAAATGTACTACAAATTTCCCTAAAGATTTCACTAATGATACGATAACAAATATCGACGGATATCCAATATATCGTCGAAGAAATCCCGATAATGGCGGACAATCATTTATTAAAAATATCATCAACACAGACATTGAAATTGACAATCGTTGGGTGGTGCCGTATTCGCCTCTGCTAAGAAAGGGGAAGCCTGGGGACCTTCAAGAAAAGAGCTTACTCCTTTCTAAAGGGCCGGCAACGCACCCGCAATTCTCCTGGTGTTGCGGTTGATCATGGGCGGTAGTAGTCACTTAACATCAGGTGAGCCGCATGCTCGTTTGCCCCTTCTTCTATAAAAAAAAAAAAAAAAAAAAGAAAGAGATACAATGCTCATATTAATGTTGAGTGCTGCAGTTCTGTGAAGAGCATCAAATACATTTGCAAGTATGTCCATAAAGGCAGTGATATGGCTGTGTTTAGAGTGGAAAATATTACTATATATATATATATATATACTAATACTATAATAATCCTCCAGTGAATGAAATAATGCTCTACCAAATTGGTCGGTACATCAGCTCCAATGAAGCTGCTTCTACATTATCTTCACTCCCTTAGCTCTTCGCTTCTTTCATTCATTAACTTCTTCATACTGTCTAGGTATCCGAGTACTCTTGACCTTCCCCTCTTCGAGCAATTTGCTCACATGGTCTTCGAAAGTACTACCTCGACACCTTTTAATATTTACTTTCACTCTATATATTTTCTTCACCATTCGGTCTTCACTCATTCGCTCAACGTGCCCAAACCATTGGAGTACGCCCCTATCAATGTGATAATAAATTGCCAACGAATTCGTTTCGCTTTCGATCGGCTATGGTAACGCCACACATTTTACGAAGAGATCGCATCTCCACTGCATTCAACTTGCTTTTATGCTTCTTCTGGCATACCCAGGTTTCGCTGCCATATAACAAAGTCGGTACCAACACTGCGTTATGTATTGCAAGGCGTGCACTCTTCACCACACCTTGCCTTTTGAGTAATGGATTCAGGGCACCATTGACTTTGTTTCCGGCAGCGACACGCCTATCCACATCTAAATCACATCTTCCATCCCGGCTGAAAGCACTCCCCAAGTATACAATTCCATTTACCTGTTCTAGACATTCCTGATTTACCCATATTTCACATTTCTTTCTCTCTTGGTCCTTTTCAAATACCAGAACCTTAGTTTTATTAGCATTCAAACGGAGACCTTTAATTTCACATTCCTCTTTCATACACGTGACTAGTGCCTGCAGTTCTGCTTCTGATGGTGCAATAAGCACTGCATCATCAGCATACAGCAGACAATTTACTTTAATGTCACCCAATTTCACACCCAAACAGCTATTTTTCAGCTTCTGTAAACAGCTGTCGAGATACAGTATGAACAGCCAGGAAGACATGACACAACCCTGTATTACGCCCGCTTGTATGCTAAACATGGGTGACAGGTCATGCCCTACCCGCACACAGGCTTTACAGTCATAGTAAAGTGACTGCACAGCCCTAAACAATCGATCATCCACACCATATCCCGGCAACAGTTCCCACATTTTCTTCCTTATAACCTTATCAAATGCTTTCTTCAGATCCACAAAAGCACAGAAAATCCTCTGGTTAACACTCAGAAGTTTTTCCTTGATCATGCGGAGAGAAACCATTTGATCCGTGCATCCTCTTCCAGGTCTAAATCCGCATTTTGCCTCCCATAAGAATCTTTCCGATTTCTCTTGCATCCTACGTGTCAAAACCTTCGAGTAAACTTTACTTGCTAAACTGGTCAAGCTGATCGCCCGATAGCACCCGCAGTCATAATGTGAACCTTTACCTTTATATAAAGGCACAATGACCGCGGATCGCCAATCATCCGGGACATCTCCCGACAGCCAGCACAAATTGAACAGCAGATGAAAGCTGTCCCAGACGCGAGGCCCACCGTACTTGACCATTTCAGCAGTAACTCTGTCTAGTACCGCAGCCTTACCACATTTCAAATTTCGAATCGCACGTTCAATCTCTTTCATGCTGATGACCTCAGTGTCATCGAGGTCCGTGTCTGGCGTGCCAGTCATGGCGTCACCCCCGGATCCTTCACTAAGATCATGACACGCATACATTTCTCTATAAAATTCACTCCATCGCTGCATGACGTCCGATTTTTCTGAGAGGACGTCATTGGTTCCCGAAAGCACTTTGTTCATTCTTAAGGCTGTCGCACCACTCCGGGACCTTCCAACCTCTTTCCAGAAGAGTTTGGAGTTTTCCTTAATGTTGTGCGACAACCTCTCGTCCACTTCTATTCTACACCTTTCACGTACTTCCTCAATCAATGTTTTCGCATGAACTTTCTGCAGCTTATATCTTTCTTTCATCTTCTCTCTCATACGCTTATCGTTACTAGAGGCCAAGTAGTCTAACCATGCTTTTTTTCTTCTTTTTTACAGCTTCTCTCACTTCATCATTCCACCATGCACCTCTTCTTTTATTACTACCTCTTTTTGTCGTTCCACATACTTCTTCCGCTGCACTTACCATTCCATCCCTAATGTTCTGCCATGTTCTCTCCACACATTCTTTCCTGCCACCGATGGTGTCAAGCTTTTCGGCTACCCTCGTATGATATTTGTCCCTAGTATCCGCTTCCTGAAGCTTCCAGCTTCGGATGCGACAGACCGACTGTGATTCTGTTACTGCCGTCCGGTAGCGCCAACCCGCGAACCAACCCCTAAATCTAGTAATTACTAGATAGTGATCCGTTCCCAGGTTAGCACCCCTGAACACTCGTGTATCCATCACCTGTTTTCGCAGTCGGTCATCCACCAGGAACAAATCAATCATACTTCTCTCATTCTTTCTTCTCTAGTGTACATATGGATTTTCCTGTCAAACCCCCGCATCATTAACCCTTTTATCGCCAAACTTTCCAAGCACCGACTCGTATCCTGGTCGAGCGATACCTACCCATCCATTCAAATCGCCATATACAACAGTTCTTTCGTTTCCCTTAACCAAATCTAAAACTTCTCTTACATTCTCCCAAAACTCCTCTAGCTCAGCCCTGGACGACGAAGCTACCGGCGCATAAACAGCCAAAAGGAATAACTTCGTCAGTCCCAGTTTAAAGCGAACCTAGGGAAGTCTTGAGTTCACAACCTTGTATTCAGTCATAAGATCGACCAACCGGGACGACAACAGCACCTCCACTCCCTGGCAGGCGTTCTCGCTTTCCGGGACTCCGGACCATATAACTAACGTCCCGCCAGGGAGCTCTTTAGTACCACTGCCTTTCCGTTTGGTCTCCGACATACACACGACATCTAATTCTCTTTCTTTCATTATTTCGATCAACTCATTCGTCTTATCTCTCAGCCCCCCAACCCCCCCCCCCCGCCCCCCCCATCCCCAACCCTAATAAGTTC